TAGATAGATAGATAGATAGATAGATAGATAGATTGATTGATTTGAGGTTATTTCAATATCAGGTGGACTAATATATGTGGAGAGCAGAGGATCATATTTTTTAGCCTAAAATTGTTGTTTTGTCTGTAGTCCCATCCCACTTGGAAGTACAGTGCTGATTGAATCCATTCTGGACAAAGAGGATGGCAGAAAAATTTACATTTCATGTAGAGTGACCAGCACGGACGGCTCCAAACTGCACACAGAGGCAACAGGTAACTTTCCTCAGTGTCACTTCCATTTCTGTCATTCCACCTTCTGCATTGTCACACTTCTTTTTCTTCTTCTTCTTTTTCTCCTTGCAGCTCTGTTTTTGTCAATCAGTGTCAGCCATCTGCTGAAAAGGTGAAGCAGCATGCCAGGCTGGCATAACAGAGGCCAGAACAAGCCAGTGGGTTTGACTTTGTGAGACATTGGTTTGGATTACGGACATATTTTCTAGATTAGCTTGAAGAAACCTCTACTAACAGACTGAACTTGAATGCCTTTGCGTAAGAGTACTAATACAAAAACAGTACATATCTGTGATGCATTTATTGAACAAAATTTTAAGGATTTGCTGACAGCATTTTGAGTTACCAAGGGGCCTTACAGTTCGAAGCTTCCCCTGAGATGTTTTGTATATTTTCTTTCTCCAAGATCAAAGCCTCTTATGTGGATGTTATTTTCACTGAAGAAAGAAAAAAAATATTGTAAATAAAAAGGTAACACTTTATTTGAAGGGGGTTGAATAAGACTGACATGACACTTTCATAAACATGACATAACACCTGTCATGAACATAAATAAGCCTTCATGAATAGTTATGACTGTTGTCATAAAGCGTCATTCAGTAAATTATGACATTTTTAATACAAAGTTGACATTATTCAAAATGTCTTTGTTATGACAACTTGACATTAATCAATAAATCATTACTGTTTAAACTTTACCTTTAATAACATAAAGTTACCTAATTTTTAAAGTGCAATCAGTAATACTTTTATAACAAATTTATATCAGTAATGATTTCCTGGTTAATGTCAAGTTGTCATAACAAAGACATTTTGAATAATGTCAACTTTGTATTAAAAGTGTCATAATTTACCGAATGACGCTTTATGACAATAGTCATGAATATTCATGAAGGCTTATTCATGTTCATGACAGGTGTTATGTCATGTTTATGACAGTGTCATGACAGTCTTATTCACCCCCCTTCAAATAAAGTGTTGCCAAAAAAGGGAAATATGGGACAACAT